CCCAAAACCCCATCCCCAAAACCCCAAAACCCCAAAACCCCTGAGAGCAAATTTAGCATTGAAGTTACATTTATTAGAGATAAACGTAATTCTCCAAAGATGGGAACCCTTGTTTTAATAATCTTGATTTTGCTTGTTTGGTTTCCTTTACTTCTTCTCTTAGCTTCTTGTACTGGCCTTTAGATAGGATTCTAATTTGTGGATCTATAAAGGCTTCATCATAAGCCTGCTTATTTCCTTTCAAGCTCTCGAGGTAGTCTTTGTTTTTATCACTCATGTCAAGTTCAGCCTCATAGTTTAGAATTCTCTGTTCATAAGATTCTTTAAGCTTCTCCATTGTAACTTCTTCAGGAATCTGAGGCTTGACAAAATCTTCAGGAGTTAATTTCTTGAAGTATTTATATCTCAATTTCTTAAGCTCAATCTGTTCTCTAATCTCACTTTTGAAGGTGTCAATGTCATCAATGATGTCCCCATATTTTTCCTGGATGTTCATCAGTTCTTGGTACAGTTCTGATTCTTTATATCTGGGATTTTCCATAAATCTAACTAAATCCTCCTCATCTAAAATTGATTAATAGCTAACATACTTTTAATAGTAATCTTGTTTTGATCAATCATTGTTTTAACACCTTGATGGTATTTCCTCTCTACTTCATTCGGAGCATAATTAAGCAGATGGTTGAGATCATACTTGTATTTATTCTGTGATGTTCTCTTGACAACAGTAAAGCCATCGTCATCTCAGTACGACTCTATCTTTGCATCTGGATAGACTTTCTTCACTGATTCTAAGTGCTCTTCTATACTCACTCCTTGATTTGGATCAAAATAATATTCTCTCACTTGTTCTCCAGCAGTTGCTGCCTTGACAATTTCCACATACTCATCCATGTTCTCACGAATTTGAGGTTCAGAAATTTTTCTGAATATTTTGTCATAACTTTCGCTAATTTGCTCAATGTATTTATGACTTTCTGCTTCTGTGCATAGTCCCTGAAGAACTGATTTTCTTCTCTTTACTTCAATCAGTTCTTTGAAGATCCTTTCCTTATCTTCGAAAGAGACAAAATCATTCTTTCCATAGCCTGGGTTTGTCTTCTGAGAATAAATAGTTTTGTCATGTCCTAGCTTGTCCTTAACCTTCTTTGAATCATACATGTAATCTCCAAATTCTTTGTTTGTGATCTTTCCTGTCCAAACCTTGGAATACCAATCTCTTGTGCTTAGGTCATTATCTATTTGGGTAACATCATTGTCAACTCCCTCATATTCATCAATCTCTGTCTGGATTCTTCTCTTATAATCTTCATAATCCTGGAAATTCTTTTGAGCTGTTGGGGAAGTCTTTTGATAGTTTCTTTCGACAGCTTTGAGGAAATCTCTTTCTCTTTCGGCTATTTCCTCCTCTTTGTTTAACTTTCTCTGAGGTCCTTTATAACTCATATAACTTTTGTAAAGATCCTGAGAGTCTTGATCATTGCCTATGGCAATTTCTGACAAATCTTTATTGAGTTGTTCTTTCTTTAATTGATCTTTCCTTTGTAATAATCCCTTTACAATGTCTCCTTTTTTCAGATTTTCTGAGAAGTATGAACCCAATTTTCTGTCTGAAATAGCCCAGGAGTCTTTCTGAGCCTTAAGGCCTTTTTCAAAAGCTAATTCGTCAGTATTGACTCTTTTAAATATTTTAGTGTTAATAGATTCCTCTTGGTTAATTGCTTCTTTCAATTCTGGATGCCTCTTCGCATACTCATGTCTGTAGAAGAATTCTTCATTATCTTCACGAATGGTAGATTTGTATTGATCATGAACTTTTTGCATGTCTTCTCTTGGCTCTTTATAAATTTTATCATTTTCTTTTATTGAGTGGCTATCGATTCTTATTTCACTCTCTTGTTTCATTCTTTTCTCCAATTTAGCCTTAAAGATTAAGTTTTTCATTTTTCCTTTATGATCTTCTCTTGCAAGAACAATGTCTTCAGAGAAAGAATTTTCATTAGCTTGGTCTCTGTATGGGGCACCGTCAGTATTATCAATATTAGGATCGAGAGCTACTTTCTTATATTTCTTCAAGAATTCTAATTCTGTAGTATTGTATTTTGAAAGATCTCCCTCTTTGAATGCTTCAATTTTCTTTCTATCAATGAATTCTGAGTAAACTTTCTCTCTGATATCTTGAGTTTTAATCTTGTCCTCTAACGAAGGTTTCCATTTTTCTCCAGTGCCTTCTTCTGTTTCTTTCTTATCAGATCCTTGACTTTTTAGTTTTATTTGTTCAATTTCTCTTTCAAGAGCTCTCTCATGTTTCTCCAACTGCTTAAGCGAGAAATCAGCATTCTCTTTACGAAGGAAATCTTGATGTCTACATTGTTAATGTTGAGAGTTACTTCAATACTCCTGAGTCAGAATATTTGAAAACTATAATGAGCATTATTAATAATTCGATGGGGATATCGCATATGCGTGGAAACTTTAATCAGAAATACTGTTCCATTCTACCACAAACCCTTTCCTCTTTTCATTAATCCAAAAATTAACAGTTTAATGTTCTTGAACCAGTAGGTTCATTGGCAATAAAGATAAGTTTGATAAAGAAGCTAGAGATTGAGAATAGTTCGCTCAGAGGCAAATAAATTTAGTTTTGATAGCATCTTTTCAATTTGATAAAAGTGGAACCTGATAATTTACAAATGATAAAAATCTCATAAGTTTTTGAGTAATTTACACAAGAACACGATCATCTAGTTAAGCTCTAGTCATTTGTCTAAACTAATTTTCTCATGAGCAATCGAAACTTAAATAAAATTGTGAATTATCCTTTGATGATTGTCAAAGAAGCTTCGCAAATTAGAAAAAAGAATGAATCATTTACGAGGTTTCTTTTTATTTATTTCATGTTCCATCTTTTGCTTCCTGGTTTCCCAATCTTCTTCCAAATAAGGATTATCAGGGATAATTTCTTGATCTGGAATCTCTAGTCTTGAGACCTGCAAATCTTTTCCAAACAGAGTCATCTCGTCTCTCAAATGAGGAGCCATCTCATCTTTGGTTTGGAAATAGCGTTGCTTTGTATACTTATCTGTCAGTTCTTGCATTCTTTCAAAATTAGTAATTGGTTCATCACTGACTGAAGCATAGTTGTAGGTTCTCTTCATTTCATCATTAAATGAATACATTGGCCTATCTGTGATCTCAACAGATTGCCCCGAAAGATAGTCTTTTCCAAAGTACTTCTCTAAGTATTCTGTTGGAGTGAATTTATACTTTCTTCCTGGAGCAAGATTGTCTTCGCCTTCTTTCAACATTGAGTATCTGTAATCTTTGTTGATATATGTTGAAGCTACTTGATCTGGAGAAGGGAATTTATATTGAGAAACATCATCCCTTGTATCTTTGGTCAACTTCTTCTCTAATTCTGTCTTCTTTAGTCCTGCTTTTAAGAATGAATAGCTCTTATATGTTTCTAGTGCTTTTCTGTGTCTTTCAACTCTTTCTTTTTCTTTTTGTTCATTATCAAACAGAGGAGCAAAATCTGCACCAGTTCTCTTTTCCATATCTCTAATCTTTTGCTCGAGTTGTTCTTCTTCAAGTCTAGATCTTGGTAATGATTCTCTATCAAAGAGGAGATTCCCCTCAATTGCATCCTTTGCAGCTTTCTTCATTCTTTGAAGTCTGGCAGCCTTTGGCATTTCTTGTTCAAAATTAGCTTCATATTGTTTTAATTTAAGCTTAGCCTTCCTTAGTGTTTCTTTCTTATCAATAATTTTGGCATCTGAAAGAGTTCTTTGCTTTAGATAATCAATATTAAAGTCTTCGTGGCCAAGATCATTTTTCATGTGCATTTGACTAGCTCCAAATGTATTGAACAAGTGCTTGTTGCTAGAGATAATTAGACCATGAAGATTCACAATAAAGATTATTCCCAAATAAGAAAACAAACATAAAGACTTTTCAAACTAATCGATAGATTTTACAAATATTATTGTCTATAAAGATGAATACATCAGAAATAGTATCTTACCTCCTTGTTGTGGTGTCAATCCTTAGAGTATCTGCAAACATCATTGCTCTTTTAGCTTCATCAGTATGAGTAAATGTTGCAAATCAGTATCCCATATTCTGGATGTTTCCTTGCTGGTCAAGATATTTATCTATCTGCTTATCTCCAATCATTTCCATAACAAGATCTTGATAATTTTTAGAGAGAGCTCTTCTTTCAGAGAATAAAGAGTCGGCAGAGTCATCATAATCTCTTTGTTTCTTTAATAAAACTCTAAGATCGTCTTCTTGTTCAAAAATGCCAACTACATTATTATCGAACAGGTGTTCAATGGATCTATTCGATTCTTGAAGAGCAGTCTCTGCTGCTTCTTGGGCTTCAAGTAGCTCTTTCTCTGTTTTCACAATATTATCAATGAGTGCTTTTTCCTTATGATACATTTCATCAAATGGGGTATCAAGCTCTTTTCTCATTTTATTCACTTTTCTCATGATTTGTCTCATAACTTGGGGATCATAATTGTTAGGGACAATGGAATGGAAAGTATTTGGATCGAATTGAGCATTTTCTAACACTTCTCTTCTCATAAGAAGATTCACAGTCCTTGGAGTAACTTCAGAGAAATTAATATCATATTCTGAAAAGTTAGGAGTTCCATCTCTAAAAATTCCTTCATATTCTGTTCTCTTCTCTAATTCTGCAAGTGTTTTAGGCTTTTTCCATTCTGAGATGTTTCTCATTTGCTCTGAAATAGAAATAATATCTTCTATTTTAAGTTTGTCAGGGCCTTCTCCATACTTCCTGAATTTAATATCTTCCATCTCATTGTTGAAATCTTTGTCTGTGACTAAAATTCTATCCTTCTTTCCATAATCAGCAAGGAGTCTATCTAGACGATGCTTTAAGACTTCCTCTCTTCTTTCAAGAGATTGAAGGAGCCACTGATACCCATCAGCCAACTCTTTTTGAAGGTTGCCATGAGATTTTGAGATCCTTGCTTCGAGAGCCTCTTTCAAAACTTTATTGTCAGAAGGTAATTCTCCAGATCTTTCAATATGATAATCTCTAATAACTTGGAAAGCCTTGTTTTCTCTCACTTCTGAGATGATTTCTGGAGGAAGAGAATCATGATTCTTATCAACATAGCTCAAATAACTCTTGAGAGTCTGAATTTGTTCAGCAGTGATAAAGCTTTCATTGTTTTTGTTTCCAGGGATTTCTGGATATTCCATGACGTTATTCAGCCTACTCACAATGTTGTCTCTTTCAATTTTTAAATCATTGATAGTACTATTAACTAGCTGATTCTCGTTGTAGACCATGGTACAGAGAGTAAGAATCTTCATTCTTTTCTCATTATTAATGATACTCAGATCTGAGGGAGGAGCCTGACTCATAGTGTTGTTAACTTGATCATTGTAGAGATCTTTATCGAAGTTTAATACTTTTTCTGCCAAGGTCGTCTTTTCTGAAGGATTTTCAGTCATTGGTTTAAAATCTTCCATATTTACTTCAAAATTTAAAAGAGGATCATCAATATACTTAAGCCTGGTGAATAATTCATCAGCTACTTTAAGTCCCTCTTCATATGTTCTCTGAATATTTTGCTCATTCTCAATGTTAGGAGCATTTCTTCTAATTTGTTCAATTCTTGCATCTGTTTTAGGCATATCAATGTACATCACATTTCCAAATGCAGTCAAATGTTTTGAAATGTCCGCTTCTGTTGCCCATCTTGGAAGTTTAGAGATAGCAACTGTCCTGTTTTCTAAATATTATGCATTACATTTACTTAAGCTTTCTTCTTCAGCATGTTCAATGCTTCTAAGTCTGAGAAGCTTATCTCTTATCCATATTTCGTTTGGAGCTTTCATGCATTTTTCTAAAGAATCTTGCTTTCTGAAGGTGACAATTGCATATCAAGCTTTTTGATTCAGTTCAACACTATTTACAACTCCGTGCTTATCGAATATTGGCAGAATCTCTTCTTTAGTAGCATCATAAGGAAGATTAAAAACTACAATTTCATGTCTTGGATTAAGATTGTTCACTATTTCAAGCTCGTATCTATTTGCTTCGATCTTATCTTGGGGGATTTTTCCGGTAATTATTCCCTGATAGTCAGGGGTATCATTTAAAGCTCCTTGGAACTTATAGTCCTTTAATTGATAATCCTTCATTCCAAGAATCTCCCTATACTCATTCCTCTTCGATATTTCTTCGAGTCTTTGTCTCATGAGCTCAGCATGCTGAAGGTTGATCTCGATATCTCTCTCAACAGAAAAGGGTGTTTCCTTTGGTGGAGTCTCATGCTTGAGTACTCTCTTGAAATAATTATTTATCTCTGACGAAAACATTCTGACTGGCTTTCGATTAACACTCTTTAATTGAGATGCTAATCTCATGCACTTTGACACATTCATTTATAATATTATAAATTTATGTTTGCCACAAATTATATAATTATGGGGTTTTGGGGTTTTGGGGTTTTGGGGTTTTGGGGTTTTGGGG